TGTTTGTTGATTGTTAGCACTTAGTACAACATTATCTGTATTTGTACAACCAAATGGCCAAAGAGTTAATAGAAAAATTAGAAGAAAATGCTATATTTGTCAAGAAAGAAGCATATTAAGTATGTTTTATTGTTAAAATTATAAAAATACATAACACAGACAGAGAATTATATAAAAAGTTGCTCAGAATATCATGAAAAAACTCATCTCTGATCAATATTTACAGGAAATAATCTGCTATCTGCAGTTGTTGTGTTCACTGTGCAGTAGAACAGTATGAGCTGTTCTCTGCTGTTATTGTTATTGTTGAATATAATATATAGAAATTTAGATAAAATATGTCACTGAGTCAGTTTACTCAATAATAGAAAAGGTGTTCCTTAAGAGTCCGTCACCAACTCTGGTTTGGTCAAAATAAAATCCTTAAATTCACAGAGTTAGAAGTGAAAATATTAATGAACAGCGCTAACGTAAGCTAATGCTAATCCTTGGGAACAAATGTGCGTCCACTACCAGTAGTTGTTGTTGTTTGTTCACTAACAGTATGTTGGTAGTTTGTTCCACACAAGTAGTTTTTGTTTGTTCCACCTAACAGTTAGTTTTGTGTGTTCCACTAACCATGTTAGTTGTTGTTGTTCCACTAAGCGATAGTAGTTTCTGCCACTGACAGACTCAGTTGTTAATGGTCAGTGTCTTACAGCTATGAAGGATCCCTACATGAGATAGACCTTTATTTTAACCACAAACAGCCGTAATAACACTATCACTCTCCACCAGACTCCAGAGACAAAAATGCAAATTTTTCTCAAACATTAGCAGCTTATAAGAAAGAAAACTGTAATAAAACTCTTAATTTGAAATGTGTAAAAAGAAATCAGACCTTTGTACAGTAAACTGACATCAGCAGATTCAACCTCCATCATTCCTGTTTTTGTGCTATGAATTATTACTTGATATCCCTCTACTTTCCCTTCCTGGAGGACAGTCTATTTCTAGCAGCTACTACATGGAAAATGTGCAGCCATGCTTAAAGATGCCAGCTGATAATACCTTGAATCTGCTGGAGTGAAGTGAAGCTCAACAAAGTGCAGAGAGCAGTTTCACTGGATTATTTTACAAACGACATGCAGCACACAGCTGGTTGGACCGATGCTGTTTACGGTCCAACTCACCGCCTGCCTGCTTGTCTTCTCGCAGCTCGTCACGTCCTGTCTGGAGATTTTTTTATTTTTTATGCCGTCTGTGGTCACAAATAGTTTCCCACCAGTGTCCATAGCTGACACAGATTAAACTGGGTCAATAAAGTGAGTTTCTGACTGGATTAAACCTCCTGTGGCCCCTGGAGGTTTAATCTCAGAGGGCCACAGCTGGTAGCAGCTCAGTCTGTTACAGGTAAACTGTGGTTACTGGTTTTTGTGCCACTTTCTATCAAACACTTACATAATCGCTTCTTTTAAAATGTTCTTTTCTTGTCCAGCCACTCATACATCTACGGAAGCCCTGAGGGGCGAGTGAGAAGAACAAATATGGTGATTTTATTTATTTATTTAGTCTGATACTTTTCTGATACTAATTCTAATTGTTTTCTCTCCTGAGTTTATGACTGAAAGAAGGTTTTGCCAGGATCATTTTTCCTATTTTTTATCTTTTATCTATGAAAATAGGTGGAAAAAAGGTGATTTTTGCTGTCAATTAATGAATGTATTTCTTTCCCAGTATCTTTCTTTTTCTTACTTTTCTCATAACATTGCACATGTACAGTTATCGATTTGGACCATATTCCACTTTATTGTATACAATGTATATATATTCCAGATATTTATATATTTTTTCATTATATTCTTATTTTATTATATTGTATTTTTTTTATCCTTGTTCTGCTCTTTGCAAACATTCCTCCTGTACTTCTGGGCCAAAGTTTAATTTCTCCTACTGGGGTTAAATAAACTAATATCTTATCATAGAATATGGGGTAGTGGTGCGCTTCAGCTTCTTGTGGCGGAAGTGAGTATTACAACAACAAACCTTTTTAAAATTTTCTGTATGTATAAAAATTAACTTGAAGTGATCCTGGAAAAAGTTTTGTCCACCCTTGTTTCACAGATTGAATTTTTAAGGATCTTTTTTAGAAAGATTATCCACCAGTTCTTAAAGTCCAGCGTAATGGTTAGGAGGATCTGTTTGTTTTTTTAACTCACTAACCCCTCAGGGCTTCCGTATAAAAACATATGATTACATTTTTGTTCTCATATTTTTGGCGAACTGAGTGCAGGAATGATCAATTTAAAGAGAAGATTTCCCCCCGTTGATGTTTCTCGCAGTGTGTATGAAAGATATGAATCTGATTATAACTCAGCGCAGTGACCCTTTACCGTTGAACATTAGTGAGGTCGATGCCGTCGTTAGCTCGGTCCTCGGCTGCTCACTACGTGCACAACCAAGACAGAATAAACAGGAAGTGAAGGCTGCTGGTTTGTCCTGTCCTTGGCTCTGCTTCCTCAGCATGTGACTGTGGAGATGGCCTGGAGAGAGAGAGAG